ATCGGTTCGAGTTAATGGTTCTCTATCAGGACCGATTGAGGCTGTCCGCGGAGTTCCCCAAGGATCCGTACTCGGTCCGTACCTTTTCTTAGCATTCATAAACGACCTACCAGGTGACCTTGGAGAAAAAGCATTATTATTCGCCGATGACGACAAAACATGGAGGACGGTACAATATCCTGAAGATTATGAAACCTGGCAGGAAACTGTAGACGCAGCTTACCAATGGTATATCACTAATGGCATCGAATTTAACGTTGAAAAATGCAAGGTTGTATCACTGCGCAACAGGAGTCGCTTTGCATGCTAACTTGGAAATCAGCGATTGCCGCGTTCTCTAAACAAAAGGGACCTGGGAGTTTTCGTTCATGAGGATCTAGGATGTTCCACACATTGCGCAAGGGCGTATTCAAAGGCCATAAAACACGTTGGATTACTAAAACGTGTTCTTGGATCATTCGAAACGGACCTATTGCTCCGTTTATTATCAGCATACATTAGACCACACACCGAGTATACTATACAGGCTTGGAATCCATGGCTGATTCGCTAACCACCCGTGTAGTACTCCAGTGACGCTATCCAGGAATGGTCACCTCTGAAGGCATCCGTTTAAACGTTTGCTCCAAAAGAGTCGGCTAGACTGCAGGTGTCATTCTTTCAGCCTCAGAGTTCTAATACCTGGAACTCTTTTCCACCTCAAGTTGTTTGTGCACCAACCATCGAATCATTCAAATCAAAACTGGATGAAGCATTGCAACACCTAATTTTTCAGCACCCGTGAATGAACGGTATGATTTGTTGTTTAATTGTACTACCAACCGAATCCAGTGTGTACAAATCCTATGGGATTCAATAAACATCAGCTTTGTAAATTAGCCAGAATACAATTCTGAAATTTGATTATGCCCAAAACTATAGGATCTGATGAATTCTCTGAATGCAAGTACATTTTCGAGCAACTTTTAGTCTGCTAGCCATTTTTGCCTTGCTTGACCTGATGCAAAGCATTTTCGCTATCAAACGTGGTGATCGAACTAGCGGCAGGGAATTTTATTTTAGCCAATTCAGTCTGACAATACTGAGCACGTGATGTTCTGCTTCACGTCCCCCCCCCCGCTTTATAAGTATATCCTGATTTCATTCACAACTATCATGATGTGACTAATTCAACTAACGTGAACACTGCCACATATGCGCGAAAACAAGCAAATCTCTCTCTATCATGTTCTGCTTGCAATAGCCAAGTTGTTGCACAACACAATGACAGTGGTTGAATCATCACAATGCACACACACATTTGACCGGTGTAAAAAGATGATAGCTGGACAGAAGCAGCATTAAACGTTATCAAAATGAAGGTGTAGCATGGAAGAGGAATTAGGAACGTGATAAAAGTTAGTGGATTTAGGAGAGCCATGGCTTACAAGACATTATCTAGTGTTTCTAACCAACGAGCATGCTGGTCCGCAAGATCCTAACTGCGAAGTGTAAAACGACCTTAAAAGAGAAAACCCATTGCTGAATGTTTCCAATTTCCCACATCATAGCATTTTATAGCAACCACTGACCACCCACACTAGCTCTAATTGCCTTGGCAAACATCACACACTTTGGTTGTCTATCTGAAGATGAGCGTAACGTATGTCCCACTCGTCGCGGTCTATGTAGGGCCTAGCGGAGGTGGGGGTATTGATTTGTAGAAGAGCATGTGTCAGTGTAGCACAGCACTCATCTAATACTCTAAGCCTAAGCTCCGCGTTGCTTGTCTGGTTGCTTTCCCAAACTCGTGGATTGTGTATAGAGTATAAACGGCAGTGTTCGAACACGAATAGATCGTGTTTATAGGTCAAAAGTAACAGTGAGGTTTCTCCATCATTAAGTAGGATGAGATAGACTACTTGAGCAAAAACTGAATTCTTCACAGACAACTGAATGACGTGGCAACTTCACAGATGCCCAAAATTCGCGGACAATACATTATCCATACTTCGCTCCTCAGGAGTGGTACAATGTAGCAAACGCAGTTTTTTCTCCATTATTCATTATTTGGGATGGGCTCGACATATTTCGCAAGGTGAATATGCGATACACGGGCCAAAAAACCATACTTCGTCACTCAAACTATCCACGAAATCTCAAAACTCATCTTGATTTTCAGTTTGCAGTTCAAAATAGTCTGCTTGTTTTCTATCACCACTTGAAAGTAGATCAAATCTGTCATTCTTGCTCAGAGACCTGCTCGGTTCTTAACACATATTGACCGTTAGGCTGAAAGACAACCATTACAGTCTTGTAGAATACCGCATCCAAGACGAAATTGAACAAAAGGGCATCACAGATGCCAACTCAGCTTTCGTTTTTAATCTAAAGTGAAAGTTTCAGAGGGAAGAATTTCTCCGATATACTCTTTACTGATAAGTAGCATCAATTTACGGCTCGGTCGACTGGACCCAAAGTGATATTAAAATTAAGTGAGATGGAAATCATGGATACGTGGAAGGAGTACTCGCATCTGAGGAGTTGATGAAGAGCAGCGGGGGTTTAAAACCAATCGAATTTTCACGCGTACACTTTTCTCGAGTAGCACAGAGTTGACAGAGAATGACCAGAGCGAAGCAACGCTAGTAATATACCAATTCCCATTCCGATATTCAGGTTGGTGGACCACTGGTAGTTCATCTGGGGGAGTTGACCACAAACCCTGATTCCAAACCAACCATGAGGAAGCGTACGAACCACAAACACCTTCCCGGATAGGGTAGCTGTGGTCACTGGTTCGATTGGGCATCGAGGTGTATTGCGTACCTTGGACATTTGACCCCGTCCAAATGGTGAATGAAACGCAGAACTGGACACGGCCCCGCTGCCTTGCGGATCAGACTTTGGCTAGCCAAAGGCTCCGGTTGTGGATTCCTCAAGATAGCTCACCTGCCTTGGTGTGGGCAACCTGACTGTATTCCCCCCACATGCAAATCATGAAACGTTTTTCTTCTTCATAAAGGTTATTGTACCATGATTTGTTTGGCACAGTATGGATTCAGATGTGTGTGAAAATATAATATAATATCCCATTTTCAAGCAACCAACTATTTTCCTGTGAATTTACCGGAGGAATTTCGGTATTGCAGCACTCAGTGGCGTTTGAGAATGAAAATATTTCAACCGCAACGTCAAGTTTGTAACAACTCTTTAAGGTAAGTGGCGGGCATCGGTTTCCTGCGGCACTCGTACATTTGCATAACAAAATCTAGCTCGTATCAGTATTTCGTGGCAAATGTCTGCTAAAAGAGCCATGTTTATGGGGATGTCTCAACATCATCGCAACGTGACTGATCTGAGTCCACCGCGGAGATGAAGATGTATTTTATGTGAGGCACTATCATCATTTGTGTGAAAATTGTGGTTCCACGATACAGACAGAGAGCGAACAGCGACTACGTCTTTCATAAAGTTAAGGCAAACACTTGCGATGATTTATTCTGTTGGTTAGAGCAATGAATGGACCACCAAGGTGTTCTGAAGCGTAAAAGTTGTTAGGGATAAATACGGTGTTTTTTGGAGAAAACTCAGTGGAACAATAATAAAAAAATGTGGAATTCGTTATTCACTTCAGAAAACGAACGATCCATCGGCATCTCGAATAAACTATTAAATTTCATTTATGCCTTGTAATGAGTACGGAGAGTGTAAAGCACAATCTTCCGCTGGTTTGCATATAGTCTGCTCAATCATAATACACAAAGTGCCACCTAGGCACCCGCGTAACTAAAAATGAGAGACGTTGAACTATCCTCGAGGAGTGAAGTATGAGAATGAGCATGGGTCCACAGAACACAGAGCAACGAGCGAAGTGAGATCTTTGATGTGCCGTTTTGAGACGCAGAATTTCTCAATTTCTCAAGATTTACGATGGTACTGGTCAGAACAATTACTTTTTCAAACCGATAAAGTTCATGGACAGTGAATGTGTTCAGGCGGTGAAGGCATTTTAGTTGAATCAACAAGTTACACCAGGTACATCATGACCATTATATATAGGGGAAAAAGATAAACAGACAGATAGATAGATGGATAGATAGATAGATAGATGGATAGATAGATAGATAGATAGATGGATAGATAGATAGATAGACAGATAAATGGATAGAGAGAGAGCCGAATATAAAATCAAGAAGCCCGGAGAGCATTTTACAAACGGGACGATTTCTGTGCCAATATTTTTAGTTTGTTTGCCCCAACTCACAGAGTATGATCATAAATTTCGAGCTTTTTCCCCAGATGAAAGAAAATAATTGTGTATTTCGTTAATTTCGTTAAGTCAGTTCACAATCAATGTATTGTAGACAAGAAATGAAAAGTTTGTTGTGGGTACCTGAATAAGACTTGCAGACACCGAAGCGCACTGAAAAATGTCACTAGAACCTTAGCATGGTGGGAGGGAGAATTGACTACAACGAGAAAGCGATTAAGCTTCATGTAAATAATTTTTGCAATAATTTTTGCATCGAAAGGATGCGAAAAACGGGTTTCTCGAAAGCTGGACAGACTGAAAGGTTCTTTAGTGGAAAACGTTACACCAGACTTGGTGCAAATGTCACAAATACTAGTCAATCAAACATTTGATGAGATTGTGGAAACGCGGCTTGGTGTTCTGCTATGAATAAGCTTAGTGATTACATCTAATTGTGTAATGAGTAGTGGAGAAGATGAGATCTCGTGTTCAGTTACAGGTAACTGTAACCCTGAGCTATGCAACTTGTAATGCAGAACAAAGTCCAAATCCACATGGGGGATAGGTGTGCTATTATGCTGGGGATCAGCAAGCCTGCTCAAAACCTTATTTGGATGGTGACGAATGGATTTGAATCTCCGACTAGTTTTAGACACAGCTAAGTAAACCGTTTGAAAGCATCGTAACTATTAGCTCTTGCACACCCTCAAGTAAATCAAAGAATATAAATGTTTTGCATTGAAAATATGGGGTATCACACCAGCAGTTAGGATTGATCAAATTTTCCTAGTTCGGTGGTAGATGTGGTGGACGATGAGCTGATTGTAAAAAGAGACAAAAAAGCACACTTACCAGAATGCAAGAAACACACGCCTTGCGTAATACTCAGGGCCATACGAAGCAAAATTCTCAGCATTAACTCATCCGTGGTTGTAAGTGCCGCAGGAAGGATACGATCGCCCGAGATTCGCTGAAGGGTGAACACACGAGAGACTGCATCTGGGATGACGGGAAACTCTCCACTTTCAGTTTGTTTTCCGTTTGTTGCACGGGAATACCATCGATGTGTGGCCATTAGATCTTGCAACGAACCCCACGGATGCAATTCACCGATTAGCATGGCTCTGGGTGAGACAGTGGCCACCAGGATGGCGGGTAAATGCAAATTGGGACGAGTGGATTGATCGGCTGCGGGATAATCGATCCAATCGACTGCCATTAGACCCTGGATTGTATGATGTCGTAGGAGCATAGATCGATGCAACGAGGCCGTACGGCGCCACAAACTTTGGGCCAGTTGATCATCCGGAATGAAAATTTTGGCCAAAACAGTTTCTCCATGCCATGAAGCTAGAACACCGCGCACGCACGAGAAAAAGATAAAACCGAAAATGACGGATATCTAACTGAAAAGAAAATAATATATATAATGATCCTGCTAAAGAGCAAGCCTGTCTCTGTTTCTGCCATGGACCAATTAAGGGCTGTTTATGATTCTAATTTCAATCTTTAGAAAATAACATTTTTTATCAATATTCGTGTAAAATGCATTCTCAACAAGGCCTCTACGCGTGCCTGACTTGTGAGCGATCAATTGTGTGAGTGGATGTATTCATGCGGGCAGAGGACACCCTAACATTTGCTCTGAAAAAGCCCAGCATTTTCATCGAAAATCATTTTTGCGGTCATCCTATTGGCGGTTGAACAAACAATGTCCCGTATTTAGGATTGAGAAGGGAAGTGGCCAACANGGGGGGGGGGGGGGGGGCAGAGGATATAAACTGTCTTCAAATTGGGCAAACCATTTGATTTTTGATGACGGTAGAATCGACATGTTCGGATGGATACCCTCGGTGTTATACACTAAGTTACAAATGAAGGAGACTCTATCGGTAAAAAAACTGAATCAATGTATTATTTTACATTTATAACGATCACCTGTTTGACGTGATTTAGGGGACAACCAAGCCTGCGATAATGTTGGATATATATTTGTAATCTTTACAAATACGGCACCAGGATAATCAAGATTTGAAAGNATTTGAAAGAAGAATACAAAAGAAAAATAAAAGCAACCCAACAAAATCGATACTGGGTTAGGGAGGTCAACAAAACACTTTTACTTTTTTGTTTACTGCACACACTTAGGAATCTTTTGTCTTTTTAATTTTGAGGTTGTAGATATGAAAAACGGTTTAATGTTCTATCCCAGAGCCAACGAAAATGCGAATATCTGTAGCCTCAGCTTGGAAAACCGGACGGGGGCCAGATCAAAGCCGAATTTCTTTGACTCTCTGGACTACATCACAGATTGTCTACCTTACTGTTTCTTCCATTTGGGTTCCATGTATGTGAGTAGCCCATGGCAGAACAGACAAAGTACTCAGGGCAAAACAGTTGCCCTCCCTTGTGCCATTCCGTTTAGTCCCATTCCCGTTTTCTCACGCAGATTGTGTGTGTAGTCTTAAAAATAAGCGTATCACAACGATGTGCTTACCAGCGGTGATACACATTGCAAAAACCCGAGGCTATTTGAATTCGCATTCAGTTCAGTTCTTGCAACCATGCACTTTCGTGCTCCGGTTTCAGTTGCTATATTTTGGTTGCCCATCTGGATAAAACAACAGGATGATGATTAGAATGTTGAGAGCAGATTCAAGCGGATAACAGCACATTTTCATAGACTGAAGTTACAAGAATAATGAGTAGATGCATGAGCGCAACTGGTTGCAACACCCAGCCATATCGCTCAATGTCTCTAATCATCGGTGACCGTGATCTCGGGGGCCCCAGCCAGGGAGCCCAACAGGACCTATGTGAGCCAGTCTCCTGGTCAGGGTTTTCATATCCTCATGCCAGGTCTTAGTTTGACCGCCCTTGATTTTTTTCCAACCGCTACCTGTCTCGGGAAACATCGCTCGCCGTGGCAACCTATCTGGTGACATGCGTAGCGCATGTCCCAACCAGCGTAATCTATGGGGGTCGACTACTTGTGGACGACCGCGAGTGCCTAAAACTCTACGCCGAACCTCGGCATTGCTCGTCCGGTTTCCCCACCAGACTCGTGCAATGCTAAGTAGACAGCGGTGTTCAAACACCGACAATCTATTTTTATCCTGTCAGTGAATTCGCATTGACAGTACAAGAAAACTTTTCGACTGAGCTACGTCTTTCCCGTTGTGAAAACAACTTCCATCAGCCACAATGACTATCGGGATCACAAGTTCCGAGATTCGAACGCCGTGACCACCACTAACGTGGTTCGATGGCGTTCGCCGGAATTATGATTCGGCCTTTGTGCTATGCGAGTGTTGTTCAGTTAGTTGCATTGTTAGTGTTGACACACTATTGATCCGTTTTTACTGTGAGTTTCACCCGTTCCAATGTCCCAATCCATGCAAAGAAAATCATTCTCTCGATCAACAGAGGTTCCCCTGAAATACTGGGATCCTACGACTTGGGTGATGGGATATGCCAGAAGACGAGAACAAGTGAAGCTCATCAAATGTCGATAATTTTATTGGTCTGTTAACACGCATTCCCCATACAACGCGCATGGCAAGGTAGCTAGCTATCACTAGGGTGGACGAATCACATGTTTCTGTGGACAGAGTTTGTGCATGTGAGTCTTAATTAATGTGACCTATTTGAAGGATAACAGCAACAGATTAAATGACGGGGTTAGATAAAAATGATAATTGTTTTCTACCATCCGAAAGCACACAATCTTTATGTACCAGAAAAGGAGCTCACAGAAAGTGATCTATCGCATGTTTGCAATCAGTTCAGTTTTCAGTTTTTTGTACAACCATTAACCTTGTCTTATCTTGAGTTGGATTTGGATGTTGTCTTTCGACTGAGAAACAAGACATGGATACAGATACAGAATACGAGCACATAACCCGTGCGAAGGAATCAAGTAAAAACAGGAGCACCACCGTAAGCGACACGGTGAGTGTGTCCAACCATTGATTAGGTCAATCCCGAAGTCTATCACTAGGAAACTAACACACACATACACACACATGCCCACCCTAACGGCAAGACTGCGGGTCGAGATTTTCATGCATTCACCCCAGATCATGATCTGAGCAGGTTCGGTCTTTTTCCAACCACCACTTGTCTTCGTAAACCGCACTCACCGAGCAGGCCTATCCGAGGTGACTTGAAACATCCAGGGAAAACAGATCAAATTTTGCCATCTCACAACCTCTCTCAGTTTTTATTATGCGTGCACATTATCGGAAGTTCGATCTATGTTTGAACATAGTATGTGATCAGGGAATGAAAAAAAGTAGCACAAAGCGGGGAAAGCTAACAAATTATCAAATAGGAATATTTAATTAAAAACTGAATTTGCCGCAATCACATGCATGGTTGACAAACAAACGATCAACTCAGCTCAGAGTATCCGATTTGCATACATTGCGTATCTGTCGAAATGCACACGAACTGCAAACTGTCTCTATCGCTATCTCTTCTACATAAACACAACCACTGGCACAGAACTCCCTACAAACACGCACGCACTCACACTGCATACATGATGATGATGATGATGATGATCTGGTGAGAAACACAGTCACTGGTAGGTACACGCATCTGCGTTCATGGAAAGAGACAATCAAAAAGCCCGGTGCAACACAATGTGTGTGTCGATCGATCGATCCACACACAATGTAGCCACAAAATTAGGATAAAATTTATCATAAATAAATTACTAGCACGTGGCTCCGTGGTAGTAGTAGTAGTAGTAGTAGTAATAGTAGTAGTAGTAGTAGTAGTAGTAGTAGTAGATACGAATGGACGAGCAAACGGAGGGATTTGAGTGCCGGGTCGTTAGGGCAGTGAAACAAACAAACAAACAACTAGACACACCAGACTTAGCGTCGCCAACGGCGCGCTTACCTCCCTTGGAGAATCAGGATAGAGGACTACAGCGATCGGATTTGACTGGGTCTATGATCTCATTTTTGCGAGGGTTTGCGGTAATGACCTCTTTTTAAATAACCTTGAAGATACAATATAACTGTTCTCCATTACTATATATGGGTTAAAGAATGAACCAGGGGGACCGGAAAATCAATTTTACACAGCAAGACTCAATTGAACTCCGGGTTTTCTAGCCAGATTCATGATGTTATTAAAACAAAACAACATCAAATGAGACCTCCAGTTGGCTGAATACCACGGGTATCCTGATGGGAACCTAGGCAGTTTTCACCTAAAGTCTGAAACTATGGGCTCTCATACCTGAACCGTCCGGGTGATTGCAAGCATATTGTCATTATACATACATATCGAAAATAGATGAACTCGTGTACAAAGTGCCCTGGGTTTTTTCCTCAGAAAGTTTCAACTTCCGCGGTATCCGGGAGGTTGGTTGAATCACACTACTCTTTACTACCCCTGTGTGTTAGAGATCCAGATTATCGAACAAATATTTCACCTATAGCGATAGTTACCTTCAGAAGACTCTTACAGTACGTGAAAATCTGCGAAGTAGCGGCACTTCGTTGAGCTAATAATTTACGTATATTTAAATGCTTTTTAAAATCCTTCCCCATATCACATATAAATGTTTCCCATCCTCATATACGCACTTCCTCTGCTCCGAAGCATCCTCAAAACTCGTAAACTTGCGCAACTTCAACGCTGTATGAAATTCTCATCATGAGTACCCACCAGGGAAAGGTACAACAGCTTGATTGGTGAAAATCATGAATTATGTGGCAGTACGGTACTGATGGTGACGATATTACTAACGATGAGACGAGTGCCCTGCAACGCGTCCGATGTTGGGGTCTCTTCCACCCGGATCCTAACTTCTGTTCGCGCTAAAGATGTGACTGATCTTTTCGTTTGAGTGGCGATTATAGTTACGGGAGACGACTGATAATGTCCATACTAAACAGTATGTTGATGAAATACACCCTCTATTTCACTTAGACATAATATTTCTTGATGTTATTTGGATAAAACAATTTTTGCTTCAGAATTCTAGTTAAAAGAACTGAAAATAATAAATGTTAGCTAAAAGTATATATACCATAAAATTTCACGAGTTTCTTGAAGTTGAACTACAGATGCAATAAAGAGAAACTGCGATACAATGAATCCACACTAAGCGACTCGAAATCTTACGAGGGAGAATTCCAAAAGCTACGCCTTCATGATACCAATCCCGTCGGGATACTGACAGGAGCAGAAGGCTGAATTACGAACCAATCCCTTGCTTACTTTGATGTCTCC